GTTGTGGCGGGTGCCTGTGGTCCCAGCTACTTGGGAGGCTGAGGCAGGAGACTCACTTGAGCCCAGGAGTTGGAGGTTGCTGTGAGCTGTGATACCACAGCATTCTACCCAGGGGGACAGCTTGAGGCTCTGTCTCAAAAATAAATAAATAATAAGTTCATTGAATCATAGCCATAAACCTTTCACCTAGATTCACCAGTTGTGTTTCACACACTTGTTTTCTCACAACATGCTGATTTTTTTCTGAGCAAGCCTTTCCTAAGAGTGAGAAGGTCCTTCAGAACGTACAGCTTCACGTCATAGGAAGGGTAGCATGGCTGTTTTCCTGATCAAGGGTCCAGTAATTGGGTTAGGTAGTGGCACATCTTTCTGGTCTCCCTGAATCTAGGAAGTCTTGCCTCCTTTTTCCTAGTCATTTGGATGTCCCCCAGGCTGTTTGGTCTCCTTCCTCATGACTGGATTGGGGTTGATCATTCTGGCCAGTATATGGGGCTGGGTAGCCCTGTGTCCCTCAGTGTCCCACAGAGCCCCTGAGTGTTACCTCGCCCCCTCATCAGCAGCACTGTTGCATCACCTGGTTGAGGTGGGGTCTTTTTCCCTTATAATTAATGAATAATCTGAGGGTGACATTTAATATGCATTGGTGAGTTTTGTCTACATCTTTATTACATATATGGCAGGAAAGAGCTTTTCCAACCTAGCCCTTCCTTCCATGCACACTGGTGGCATTCTTGAGAAGAACCAGCTTTACTCCCCTTCCCCTCCTTGGTTAAATTTGAAAACTTTTTCTGGGCTCGGTGCCTGTGGCTCAAGTGGCTAAGGCGCCAGCCACATACACCGAAGGTGGCGTGTTCAAATCCAGCCCAGGCCTGCCAAACAACAGTGATGCTGCAACAACAAAAAAAATAGCCAGGCGTTATGGTGGGCACCTGTGGTCCCAGCTACTTGGGAGGCTGAGGCAGGAGACTCATTTGAACCCAGAAGTTGGAGGTTGCTGTGAGCTGTGATGCCACAGCACTCTACCCAGGGGGAAAGCTTGAGGCTCTGTCTCAAAAAAAAAGAAAAGAAAAGAAAACTTTTTCCAAGTCAGCAGATTCATGGGCTCTTTTTCTGTTTATGTCACTGTCATGGTTTTGGTGCCCAATTGCCCAGGTCTCGCCAGTGTCCCCTCAGACTGGCTCTGTCTTCTGTTGCGTCCCTGTCCCTTTGTTTTGAGCACTGCATTAGCTCTGCATGAACAAGGTGATCTGGGTTCTCCTAGGCTCACCCAGGCTCCTTGCCCTGGGGAGTGGTGTGGAAGCCAAGGTCAGGGTACAGAGCGAGCCATGCTCCCCCCAAAATGGACAATTGGAAATGAGTAAGGGAGGGAATAAGTTCTCTGCTGGTTGAGGAGGGGCCCCCACAAAAGGATCCTGGGCTGAATGTGCTGGGGCCCATGTGGTACTTTGTTACTTTCTTCTGATTTGTACATGTGTGTATGGTTTATTTTATAATAAAATTTTTTAACTGAATATACATAGAAAATATCTGTGGCAAAATTGTTTGAATTATATTTTAAGTACCTGGCTTTGTAATACTTTCTGTTACAAAATAATTACTGTGCTGTCCCTAGTTCTCCTGGCCTATCAAAGTGTGTCTTCCTTTCCAGGAAGGTTATGCAGGACCAGCCTTCCATGTGGCACAGCCCCGGCGTCTTCTGCAGCTCCCGACCAGCACTGTAATGGGTTCCCTGCTGGAGCTGAGGTCACCACCAGGCTGTCACCCTGGAGACCCCTGGTACTTCTCATCCCCCTGCGCCTAGGGCTCACGGACATCAATGCTGCCTACGTGGAGACACTGAAGGTGCGTCTTGTGGCTTCTGCCCAGGGTCCCTTCCCCAGTTCTTGGTCACATTTTGTGCAGCCTTGGGAGCCCATAGCCACAGTTATAGGGCCTCACAAAGGGTGGATTTGATCTAAGCCACATGCAACAGAGAAAGGCCTTTCAGTTTGGTTTCACAAGTTTGCTAACTGAGTGGCAAACAGTAGGGGCTAAGATGCTGGGAGCCCCATCGCACCGAGGCACCCTCCCCACGCTTTCCTTCAGCTTAGCATCCCTTTGGAGGGTGGTTTGGCTTTTGAGAGGGTGGACTGCAGGAAGGGTTTGGGGTGATGAAGGGGCTGCCAAGCCCCCTGGGAGCTCTGTCCACAGGCCCTTCTGACAGACCCTGCTGTGTTATGAAGAGTAGTCCTTCAGTCAGTGTCAATTTTAGACCAAGGAACCATGTTCAGGGTCGTTCCTAGACAGAATGGAAATGCTGTATTTTATTTATTTATTTATTTATTTATTTTTAGAGACAAGAGTCTCACTTTATTGCCCTCGGCAGAGTGCCGTGGTGTCGCAACTCACAGCAACCTCCAGCTCCTGGGCTTAGGCAATTCTCTTGCCTCAGCCTCCTGAGTAGCTGGGACTACAGGTGCCTGCCACAGTGCCTGGCTGTTTTTTGTTGCAGTTTGGCCGGGGCCAGGTTTGAACCTACCATCCTCAGTATATGGGGCTGGTGCCCTATCCACTGAGCCACAGGTGCCACCCTGAAATGCTGCATTTTACAACGGTCCTTCTATTGTCTCAATCTTGTCTCCTCCTTCCAGCCCTCTGACTGCCCTTAAATATCCCAGCCCCCCATTACCCCTCCTGTAGGCCCCTATGCCATAGCCTCTGCCCCTCCCAGCCCACCAGACAGGGCTCTTCACCCAGTTGGGCTTCATCGGGCCCTTGGGCCCACTTGGGAGGGGGTCGGCTCCCACCTGGGACACATGGATGTGCCTGTGTAGATGTCTGCTGCTTGGCCCGCAGAGCAGGTACTCAGCATCCACCCCTCCCATAGCGTTGCTTCCGGATGCCCCAGTCCCTGGGGGTGATTGGAGGGAAACCCAACAGTGCCCACTACTTCATCGGCTACGTTGGTGAGTTGTGGGACAGTGACGTCCCTGGGGGCCCGTGGGTGTGGTTCATGAGGGGAAGGCATACCATGAAACAGGTCTCCACACACCCCAGGGGCCCCTTTTCTGGGGTGGCCAGCAAGAAGGCAGCTCCATGGGGTCCTACAAGGCCTCCTGTGTGTTCCCCCTCTCAGTAGTCCAGCTTCCAGCCTGTCAACACATGGCATCTCAGGGCTTATCTGTCTGAGGTGGTAGTGTGAGTCTGAAATGTGGCTCAGTCACTTGCCCGCCACCTCTGTCATTTCACCCAGGTGAGGAGCTTATCTACCTGGACCCCCACACAACACAGCCGGCAGTAGAAGCCACAGACAGCTGCCTTGTCCCAGATGAGAGTTTCCACTGCCAGCACCCTCCATGCAGGATGAGCATCGGGGAGCTCGATCCGTCCATTGCTGTGGTGGGTCTCAGCCATGTGAGCTTGTGGGCAGTTCTGAGGCATGTTGTGCCAAATCCTGCGTTAGAATGAAAAGGAAAACCTTCAGGGTTGTAGAGTTTTCTTCAACATTTTGGAAAAAGTACTAGCTTCTCATAGTTTAAAAGTTGAAGGGCAAGAGGATGAATAGTGTTCAGACACTGAAGTCTTACCACTGGCCTCTGACCCTGCATCAGCTCCACAGCCCTCTGGGTTTTGCATAACATCTGGGAAATGATTCTGGATTCCTGTGTGGTTTATACAAACCTGCCTACTCTCAAAATGTACTTGAAGAAGGCCAGAAACAACTAGAGACAGTGGCATCCTGGGGAAGTAGATAACTGTGAGAGGACCCCACATCAGGGGAGCTCTGCTCTGCTTAGAAACCAGGCAGACCTGGTCCTGAGCCCAGGCCATCTGAGATGTGGCCCCCCTCCAGGACATGCAGGTGGGCTGCAGGCCTTGGACTTAGCCCCTTTCGCTGAGCTCCGTGTCCAGCCAGAACTAAGGGCATTTCCCACAGTGCAGGTCTCAGCAGTTACAGGATGGGCACTTGCAACACTGAGGCCAAGCTGGAGCTGCCTCCCAGGCCATGCACTCATGGACACTAGTGTGCGAGGACAGCCCCAAGTGTGAGCATTAGCCTGTGGTTCTACACTGAGACCAGAGGGAACACATGGTGGGACAACTCTGTCCTCACGCTGGCTTCTTAGAGTGATGAACCTTTCAGCTCCAGCAGAGCTGCTATCTGTGGAGCAGGGGAGGGGACACCCAGTCTGAGCTCTCTCCCACTTCATACTTCTGTTTTCTTTGTGTGGATTTTTCTTGTCCTGTTACCATCTGTAAACCTGTAAGTGTTCAGAATTCCTGGTAGCTGCCAGTCCAGGCTGTCTTAAGCTTTGTGGTCTTCCAGGTGATTCTTGGAAGTCCCCACATGGCCACGAGGCTCCCTACCCATGTGGTATAGCACCTGCATCCTTGGCGGTCTTGGCAGCCTTTGTAGCTGTGCTTCTAGGGAGAGGCTGGGTCCAGGCTGAGTCCCACCCGGCAGTTCAGCCACAGGGAGGGACGCGCCCCCAACATGCCTGATGCTCAGGCATACAACATATCTTATGGGTATATCAAGGGAGGGGCAAAGGGCTAAGTAAAGTGATGGAGCCCAAGGAGTGTCAGGACCTGGGTCCAGAGGGCCATGCACAGCTTAGGAGCCCTGGGGAGCTCCCTGCCTGGCCACAGAAGCAAGGACAGCCTAGAGTGTGTCCATCACCTGTGGCGTTGTCTCTGTACTGGACATTGGGAATAGAACCAGCCTCAGCTCTCTGCTCACAGTCATTTCATTTTAGGGGTTTTTCTGTAAGACTGAGGACGACTTCAATGACTGGTGCCAGCAAGTCAAAAAGGTTTGTAACTGAGCTGAGTCTCCTGGAGAGGTGTGGGCGCACACAGGGTCCAACAGTCAGTGTCAGTGTCTCGGACAGCCTGGCCGGGCTCTGCTCAGCAGGCTGTGGAGAGCTTGTTCCGCCTCTTACAGCCATGTAGCCTGGACAGACCATGTGTCCCAAGGCATCACCCTCCTCATTTAGCACTCTTGGGGATAGACCTTGCACACTGGCCTGGGGATGGGGTTTCCAGTTTATACCTCTGTCCTCATTGACACCCGGATGGTAGTAAGATGCTGAGCTGTGGATGTTCTGAAGGCTGCTGTTTGCTGGACACACACAGCTCCCCTCTGCCCTCAACGGTCAGGCTAATCTGATTGCACGTGGTCACCAGCAGGGCAGGCATGTGGCCATCAATGGCCATGCTGGGTTCTTGCTAAACTTGCCTCCATTTCCACATTGGTGAAGTGGAGAAGCAGTTGTATGTACCTTGTGGTTGTGGCTGGCAGTCCCCCCTTCTTTTAGGTGCAGTGATCTCTGGGATGGGGCTGCCTCTAACGCTGTGTCTTGCTGACAGCTATCACTACTTGGAGGCGCCCTGCCCATGTTTGAGCTGGTGGAGCAGCCACCTTCCCACCTGGCCTGTCCTGACGTCCTAAACCTATCCCTAGGTGAGTGCTGAGACGGGTGGCAGGTCAGGGTCGAGGCAGGGTTCCTGGAGAGCCATGTGCCCATCTTGCTTCCCTAGGGCCTGGTCCTTTCACTTTCAACCAGTTAGGTTTATGTGAGCCTCACCCAACACTGGATCCTGCCCAGGGTGCTGTGGCACTGGGTATGCTCCATAGGGTCTTTGGGGCCCTGGAGACAGGATGCTCCAGGCTCTCTGATAATGCAGTCCAGCAGTGGAGCCACTGGCCACAGATGGTACTGACCCCTCAGTGGTCACCATGCCTGTAGAACTAACCCCAGCCCAGCAGCACACGGCAGCAGGTGGGCTCAGAGCCCAGAGCTACCTGTAGTGAAGTATTTATGTGGCTCTGAGTGCGTCACCTTCCACCTCTGTCACTCTGACTGTGATGAGCCCCACAAGATGGAGGGGAACAGAGTCCGCTCCTGACTCTGGTCACCAGCAGGGCAGGCATGTGGCCACAGGGGTCAGGGTGCTGGCCCAAGCACCCAGTAGGCACAGTCAAGAGTCTGCTTCTCTTGTCTGGGCAGCCTGGCACCCTGGGGGTGTGAGACATTGTTTGGTCTGTCCCCTTATTTCAGCAGCTATCACCCCACACTCCAAAAGAGCCTACAAGAGACATTTGCTGAGGTTGTATTGTGTTTCTTCTAGATTCTTCTGATGTAGAGCGATTGGAAAGATTCTTTGACTCAGAAGATGAAGACTTTGAGATCTTGTCCCTCTGAAATCTGGGGGTCGGGGGGTGGCCTCCGCTGGCCCTTGCTGGTGCCACTGCATTTCATCCATCCAGCCTGCCGAGTGCTGTGCGCCCCGTGCTCCGTCCAGGGGCTGCCCCACTCTGCTCATGGATTGATGCCTGGAGTCAGACTGCCCAGCCTGGCCCTTACCAGGGCCTCACATCCACAGGAAGAGCCGTCCACCAGGAGTTTCCAGAGTTCACCTCCGGACACTGCCAGCCTTGCTTTAGCGCATCGGCTTCAGTCCCACTTCCTCTTAGGCGGCAGCTCTGTGGTTTGTTTGGAATTAAAGTCCTGTTGAAGGCACAACGCAGACATGGATTTCTGAGCACCTCCCAAGTCAGCCTCAGAAGACCTTCAGGTTGGTGTGTGAGGAGTGATGGCCACTGTGGACTGGGATGCTCATGCAAGGTCAGGCGAGCTCATGGCCACATCCCCTCTGCCCCATGTGGTTTTTCAAGGGCTACCTCAGTGCGAGAGCAGGTGGAAAGAATGGCAGCAGGCTCTCCCCTGCTCAGGGGAGACAAGCATCGGAGGGTGGGGCCTGTGGGAATCCAAAGACATCCCTGCACAGGACGCAGCATGGATTTGAGGGCAGCAAGGTGCCTGGGCCGTCCTCTGGAGCAACAGTCCCCGGAGGGTCCGTGTCAGGGCACAGCCTTTTCTCCTTCAAGGGGTGTAGCATCTTAAGATGCACCATGCACCGTTTGCTGCTGCTTGCCTATCACACCAGTTTCCCAGTGATGGGAAAGGACGGGGAGGTCCCCTTCCTATATAACACTTGGCCTGGGGTTGGGCAGGAGCATGCTCCACCTGCAAGCCTTTCTCTGTTTTTGCCTTGCTCAGAATTGCCTATGTGGGTCAGAGGCTTTAGATGGTTGGGGCCCAACAGTTCAGACCCCAGTATTATGGTGTGTGAAGGCCACACAGCAGGGGTAGGCACAGCTGGCAATCTCCAGACACCCCCCCCCCACTTTCCCCCTACTCCCACGCACTACTTTCAACACCTAACACCTTTAATTTAGCCCGTGTCCTGGGCCCCAGGTGTGCCATAGCCACATTAGTCTGCTGTCATGCCACTAGGAGATATAGGTAGCAAGAGGGTTTGGCGAGCTTGTCGGCTGATGGCTGTAGGGACCTTTCTTACAAGCATTTGGCTCATAATTGGCTTCTACTTGGGCAGACTGGGGGCCAAGCTCCCTCCAGCCAAGCCTCACTGACCACTAGCAGAGAGCACTCCCAACCCCCAAGTGTTGATGACATAATTTATTTCCATATTCCTTTTCTCTTCCCTACCCCCTCCTCCTCCTTTCCAAGATATAGTTGGGTGGGAGGGAGGCTGGACACTGCATTCCTGGAGAGCTCTACATCCCCCTGGGGGCGGAGGAGGTTGGGCTGCAGTGGAAGTAAGTGGACACCTTGACCAAAGGGGAGCTCTGTCTTGTGTGTTTTGAAAAAGGCTTACTAAAGAGAATGTCCATTCTTAGTATAGTTTGCAGTTCTTAATGGCAAATAATAACAATTTCAGTAGAAAACGGTTTGTGTCTATTGATTCTTCCTCAAGTTAGAGTTGGATGTGATTTCCAGAAAAATAGCATTTCAGTCCATAACAGCACATGTAAAGGATGTGGTGGTCTACCCTGAGTGAGCCTATCCTGCTCCCAACCTGGCTCTTTGCACACTGTGATGTTTGTCCTTACATGTGTTGGGTGAACATGTGACCGTAAAAGGAAAAAGTGTAAGAAAAGTGATTTTAGAAAAATCAAATGGGCTCGGCGCCTGTGGCTCAAGCGGCTAAGGCGCCAGCCACATACACCTAAGGTGGCGGGTTCGAATCCCCAGCCCGGCCCACCAAACAACAATGATGGCTGC